GACGTAAAGTTGAGTCAGATATATATTTAAAATGTAATAATCTGGGATTAATGGTTTGTTGTTTTGTTTCTGAAATTGTATCGTGTTTATTACTTGGATTATGTGACAGAAAGGAAAATATATATATATTTACATATATACAATATATATATTTTAAAAAACAGACCAGAAACCAAAACCGTGACGTCACAACACAAGATCAGCTGTTAGTTGTATTCATTTAACAACCGAATCGACGTGAGAATACAGAGAAGTACAAACCTACAAAAAAATGTACATAAATCAGGATGCATGCTGGGTAAAACTGGTTAGAAGTGACTGCTAAATATGATGTGTTTAAAAAATGTAGGATGTGAAATTTAAATTAAAGGTTTTACCAGATGGAACTGAGACTCAGAGATTCACTGTTTGGAGGCAGTAACAGTAACAGCTGAAGGTGGCGCTGCAGGTGGAGGAGGTGACGATGGTCAGATGGTTTGGACATGAGTCCAGAAGAAACACTGGAGATGTTGGACATGGAAGGTCTGTGGACGCAGTGAAGAAAGGGTTGGAGATGAGTTAGAGGTGACTGGTCCACAGTGGTGACCCCAGGAAGAGCAGCCACAGGATGGATGGATGGATGGATGTATGGATGGATGGATGGATGAGCCTCTTCTTGGAAGAGAAACAAGTCGGTTTTGAAACCCCAGTCTGACTCCATCAGCTCTAAATTCAAGTCATGGTCGTAGTCACACAGGCAGATCTGACACCTGAGAGGAGCAGACCAAGAAGAAGAAGAAGAAGAGGAAGAAGATCTTTGATTTCTACAATAACAACTTTATCAACAGTAGGTTCAAAAACTGTAAAGCCATATGTGCCAAACCCAAGGCCCGCGGGCCATATCCGGCCCGTAATACAATTACATCCGGCCCGCGAGATCATTTGACATTGATCTATTATTGTTGTTATTAATGGCCCGGCGATGTGAAGCGCTGATAACACACAAACTACAGATCCCACAATGCAGCGCAACAGCTGCCTTGCCGAACGATAGGTTACCTGGGAAAGCTTGTCCTTAACAATGGCGAAAAGAAAGATTGACTGTGGAAACAGAGGTTCAGGATATGTTTGTTGACATTACCGGTAAACCCGTGGGTCGTATTTGTGGAGCTAATGCAGACCGGAAGCTACAGAAAGTAGAAGAAGTTAAAGAAGAATCTGACATCTCAGCAGACGGTTTTGATTTAAGAACACGGTTGACTCTCTGGCTGTGGATAAAAGTAGTGACATGACGGACACTGCACAGCTCGACATCTTCATCCGTGGAGTGGACTCCGATTCGAGCGTTACAGAGGAAATATTGGACAACGTCAATGTCAAAGTGTAACCGACGTGAAACTGCCCCGGAGCAAACCTGGAGAGAACGGATGGAGCACCGGCGATGTGCGGTGATAAAAGTGTGGAGGATGCGAGTGAAGATGCAGGAGCAGAACTGTACTGGTGAGTTGACATCACGTCACTGCGTCATACGTCAGGAAAACGCTGTGTGATAAAGGGTTAAAAATGGAACATTTAATGAGAACTCCTAACGCAAACCGTGAACTTTATCCGAGGTTAAAGGTTCGAACCACCGGCAATTTCAGTCTTTTATTTGAGAAATTTGAACATCCTGAGCTTTAGGCCAGTCACCTGACACAGTCAGAAGATCTGATTTGTTTACAGTCAGTTACAGTCAACAAACTAATGTAGGATCTGTGCAGAATGCAGTTCATTTGTCAGCCACCTGGACGACAGCTCCTCGTGAGCGCCCGCTGCTGTTCAAATATGTCAACGTTGTCTGTGATCCCGTCTGTCCCTGCGTGTCAGTTAGATTAAACTGAAGAATCTGGTCTGAAATCCTGACAGCCAATGAGGACGCAGGAAAAACAAGGACACACAAGAAAAGGAAACTAAAATGAAACCAAAACATATATTTATTCTTTTGAACTGTTATTTTTTGCAGATGTTCGACCACAAAGTCCATCTGTTTGAATCTAAATCGGCCAAAACACAGTTTCTTTGGTTCATCTCCACGGTGAAGCACTCTTTCTTGTCTTCTGGCCTCTCTGTGGTCAATGTTCAGTTCATGATCGGCTCAGATTGATCCCAGTCTCAGACCGGTGTCTGGTCCAGGAACACACTGGCACGGAGGCCGGTGAAGCTGGGAGTCAGAGCAGCTCAGGGTCTGCTGAGGAGATGACAGGAGTTCATCCTGATGATAGGCGCTAGAGCGCCACCATGAGGTAGTGCATGGGCAGAAAGATTAGAATATACAGAGTGGAACATCCATCCATCTGTTCCTCCATCCATCCATCTGTTCCTCCATCCATCCATCTGTCCCTTCATCCATCCTCTCACACAGGTGAATGCATGGACGTGTTTATTGGCTCCACTGTTAAGTCCTTGTTAATTTTTCACTAAACGGCCGGTGATGAAGACGAACGAACGACGGGAGAAGAACGATGATCCTGGGACGTCGGAGGGGATTTTTCATCCACCTTTCTGTTCTGAGAGCAGCCTATAGCTCTGTGTGGATCAATACTGCTGAGAGGAAGTGTGTGTGTGAGTGTGTGTGTTGGTCAGAGTTCTGGTTTTGGAAATGTTGTTTACATGAAACCGTAAACAGATGATATGGAATGTTATTGTATTTAACGTCTAGTTAAAGTGAACAGACATGACATAGATGTGCTCTGGGAGACCAGAGGTGGCGCTCAAGAACCCGACAAGAGTGTTTGTAGTAGAACCAAAGGCAGAGGTTTGATGATTGATGCTGCGGTGTTGTCATCACACCACATGGTTAAAAACAGTCGTCAAAAATGAAGACGTTATGTTGAAAAATGAATGTAATGAGATGCAGAATTAAGGTTTACGGATTAGGTTTCCGTCTGGTTCTTAACGCTGCATAAACCCGATAATTAATTTATTTAATTTTGTTTATTTTCTATATTTTATCTTTTACTTAAAGAAAGAGTCGTAATATCAGTGACGGTGGGAGAGATGGGAGAAAAAGAAAGAGAGGGAGATTCTCCGACGACGTGTTTGACTATTAGCCCATTTAACATCTGCACAAGTTTATGGCTATTAAAATAAATAAAGATGCAGCTATAAATACGCCATCTGCCACCATAACAGTTTCATTATTTTTCAATTAATAATAATTATAAAAAGGTGGCGCCATTTTCCATTTCAGCCTCTGCGTCTGAAATATCTGCGTACGCCTCTGCAGAGGGAGCGACGACAAACGACGTTTTAAAAAAGTTAGCTGCGTGTTTTCACTTCGATAAGGATGACGTCATGTTTGATACATCTTGTTACGTTTTTAAATATTACATTAAATAAGGGAACAAAATGCTCATTACTTTTAATATTATTAAAGAAGATCAAACTTTGGTGACGGTTCTTAAATCGTCGCAGCGTCACTTCACTTCACACCTCGGCAGAATGAAGGAACGAATCCAGGTGCAACTCTGAAAAAGCTGTTTGTGGTCGCCTTCTCTAAACACGGACTTGGGCGCCCTCTAGTGACAAAATGCAGTTAGTGCTGTAGAAGATATTAGTCTTGGTTTTTATGCTGGAGATTGAATTTATAATGACAGAATTTGATATTTGGAGAAAGAATTTAAATAAATTTTAACACGAGACAAGCTTCACTGCACAGTCTCCAACAGGTGGCCCGTGACCCCTGGGAAGTTCGCTGTTTTTGAGTCAGGGTCTGAATAGTCAGTATTTGTGTTACAGTCCAATCGTTCCGAGGACCTCAGTGTTAAAGTCCTGCTCCAGATCTGAGTGACTAGTGGCCAAATCCAGTAATACATCTTCAGAGCTTGGTGTTTTGGTCTCAGTCTCCAGATCCAGATCCAGTCCTTGGTATCTGAGTCCTTAATCTTCATTGTTTGAGTTGAAGCTCAGACCCAAGTCCTAATGTCTGAGTATTAGTATTAGTATTTATGTACAAGTATTTGTGTCCACGTCCAGGCTCAGGTCCTGATGGAAGTTAATATGAGAAGAGCTTAATGTTTGTTGAAAATGTCCATGTGTCACATTAGAAATACGCACAGATGTTTGGAGTCCATTTTTCTGGTAAGGACTGTTTTTGTACTAGAAACAAAGTTATTGTTGTAATTTGGGCTGATGTTCATATTTTTTCTAGTTGAAATACTGTTTCACCAAATACAAATGTTAACGGTGAACGTGCTGTATATGGAGTCACATCTGTGTTTTTGATGTAATAAATGAAATCGTTTATCAAAACAAATGTTGAAGTTATGAGTTTCTGTTTTTATTTTTCAAACGGGGGATTTGGATGAGAAATACTTTCCAGTGCATTGACTTCCACTGTATTTCATCTTATGTCAAAAAATTATTATTATTATGTTATTTTGCTTGATCACCTGGTCATCAGCTCCACCTGTTTCTCATCGGCTCAGTATAAAATCTCCACTCACCTGTGACTCTGTTTCCACAGAGTGTGGTTTCCACTCTGAGCTCTGTCGCTGGTTGACTTTAAAGTGCTTTTTGATGTATTTTACTTAACAAAGCTACAAAATTTATAAAATGCGCGCTGTCAAATATCAGTTGACCTAAGACGATTGCAAAGCACTACATTTACTCAACAATGCAAAGGCGTCCAAATCCTTCAGTGTAATAATGAAAATACCAGATTTGACCATCAGATGTCAGTATTGTATAATTACACATTTTGTCCAGCGATGAGGAAAGTTACAAGAAGTGGTCAGTTGGACAGAAAGTGCTTCTTTTTTTCTTTTACTTTTTTCTTCCTGTAATTTGTGGCAACTACGTAATACAAAGGACTTTTAGCAAGTTTATCATTTTAGCACAGCATTCCAAACGCCCTACATTCAGAAAGTGCACTTTTTTTTTCTTCCCGTAATTTGTGGCAACTACGTAATACAAAACAAAAACAATTAGTTTCAATCTTGCGCCAAGAAATGGAGACACGTCGTTTTGAAAGAGCCATGATCTTCTTCCACACGGTCTTTTTATTTGTAAATAATAAAAATGAACTCTTGAATATAAAACATACACATCAGTAGAGCCACATCTGTTATACAAACAAGAACTGTTGCAGTGAATACTTTGTCTTTCGTCTAGAATCGTGTGGTTTGGGAGTGGGGGAGCCATGGGCTGTAAACAATCAGTATCCCTGGAGTAATACTGACAAAGGAAAAGGCAGTCGGCCACACCGCCAAGGGTTTCAACAGAAGCGTCCGCAAAATGTTTTACGAGTCCAGTCCAAACCAATAGCAATAAATGAGGGGAGAAAGGTGGTTTAAAGAGAAGAAAAGAAACTTTGTTCTAATTTGATCCGCTTAATTTTCTGAGGAAAAATAACTGGTGAGCAAAAATAAAAAAATAAAGGCCTTTTAGCGCCCCCTGTGGCTAGATTCCGCTCAGCAGCTCCAGCACATCAACAGGACGCAAACTCCCCTCAACAAGACCAGGAATGTTTTGTGTGTCAGCGCGTTTTTTTTTAAACTTCTTTTTTTTTATTATTGTTCTTTGTTCAAGTCAAGCCTCGACTCATCCTGATTTGTATGTACAAGATATCGCATGTCTGTGAGTGCGCACGTGTGCGTGTGTGTTTGTGTCGGTGACTGGTGCACAGTCAAATACACTCTTTTGTTTTAAATATTCATATATCTATATCTTTATCATTTCTGTCAAACTCATAATGATACTTCATATACATTTAGCTGTTATACACACATTCTCTATCTCGCCCCCTAGCCCCGACTGCTGTGAACTACAGGTTTTTAGACGCCTACATCCTCGGACACACCGAGGGGCTGGAGTATGCACAGTACTACAGAACAGCACTGTTGTTCCAAGGGATTGAAACTAAAACAAAACCAAAATAACCTTCTATTTTCCTTTTTTTTTTTTTTCTGGAGACTTCCTAATGTGGATATTTAGACCCAGAGTGGTAGGCGTGGCCTGGGTGGAGATGCCTCCCCCACCCTCAGTGGTCCGCTCCTGTTCGGGGGGCGGGGATGGCTTGGCTTTTCTTGGTTTTGTATTCATATTCAGTACGAGCAAACTGTACAAGAACATGCAACATACAAGCTGGCCTAAAAAGTATGTGGAACTAACACACATAGTCTAGTCTTTTTTTTCTCTGTTTTTGTTTTTTGAGAATCGTTCGTTAAATTTTGTCTCGTCTTTTGATTTTTGATTTTTTTTTTGTACAAAAATAAAAAATAGAGAGAACAAAGGGAACCCAAAAACAAAAATGAACAAAACAAAACTGAACAAAAAGAAACATGCATGCAGCTTAGGGCCGGAGGGAGGAAGGAAGAGGGCAGGGCATCCCCGAGTCATCATGCTACTCCCTCCTACAGGGGGGAGTCTTGAGGATTTAGGAAGTTTAGGAAGGCTTTGGGAATGAGGACTGGGGTGAAAAGGTGGTTTGGGGGAAGGCCCAATGGGCCTTGAACGCCCCAAAGGTACAAGTACACATAAGGAGTCTGCACCTTTTTATAGTACCAATCTGAACTCGAGCAAAACAAAGACCAAAAAACAAAAACAAAAAAACAACAAATGAAATGAAGGAATAAGGAATGTCCAAAAAGCAAAACTGTTTAATTTGGCCTCTGTTTTCCTTACATTTCTGTCCGGACTAAAACTCAAACGTTCTACGATCAAATCGTTTCTTGTGCTTCCGTTCGTATCTCGACAACGAGGCTGAGAATGTGCACATGCGTGTGCCAGCTCCCTTCACTCAAAGGGGGACGGGGTTACCAAACTGTGCCAAACTTCTACCATGCACCTTCGTCCTAAACACTTACTATCGCCTACACGCCGTTTAGACTCCTCCTCCCTGTGATATTTCAGCTCACTGATTGGCTTGGGTGTGAACGTGGTTTAGACCAATCGGAATGTAAGCTCCGATGGGGATTAAGCAAAACATATGAAGTAGTAAAACCAAAAGAAAGGAACGAAAAGGGGAGGAAACAGTGAAAAATGTGACGGAAATCTACTCCTGGTAGATCAGAGGGGAAAACACAGAAAGCAAAGCGTTAGAAATCAAAAATAGGCAAAAGGAGGAGGAAGAGGGAAGGTGTGAGACGTGATTGTCAGACTCCAACTAAGCTTTGATTGGCTAGTTCTGTCTCTCCCTCTCTCTCTTTCTTTTTCATTCCCTGTCTCTCCGTCTGGCTTTTCACTGGTTGGCCGAGGGCTTCTCTGTTGTCGCTCTCACAACGACCGGAGGTTTAGTAGGTGATAAGTTTTTTTCGCCCTCGGCTCAGCTGTGGTCCAGTAGCTGTGGTCCATTATTTTTGTTATTTTAAGGAATATTGGAGGGCGGGACAGGGTGTTAGTGGGGGTGTGCGACCGACATCCGGTCACTAGGACCGAACGCCTGGCGGCGGTCCTGAGCTGTCCAATGACGTCTGAGATGCCAGTCGCGTGAGTGGAGCTAATGTAGGGTCCACCAACGAAGACGGCGGAAAGAGTTTGTACCAGCCGATCACCGTGCTTGAGAGGTCCAGTTCCTCAAGCAGGATCTGTGCTACACCCATGAAACATTTGTGGTCCAAACGTCCATAGTCGCCCCATACTATGACCTGCGAGGACAAGTAATGCAGACACTTCAAAACAATGAACATCGTGTTGATACTTGGTCAATTAGTTAAGAATACCAGTGGCATGAAAATGTTGCTGTTAGCAAGCAAGCAAACCTGTCTTTTTGACAATCAAGTCTGGAAAAACCTCACACTGTTTAGTTTTGAAAATTGGCAACAACATTTCCTTTCCTTGATCAGTTCTGAGCAGATTCAGAAACTATAACGTGCGAAAGAAGAACCAGTTGAAGAACTATACCTGGAGCACCTTGCCCTGTGGACTCTCCTCGAATAGTAGGTGCTGTTGGTAGAGCGGCTCCAGAGTCTTTCGTGCAATCTTGGTTTTCTTTTTGGCTTTACAAGTTCCATTATCCAGCAAGTACACCTTTACGTAGGGAGCTGGTGGAGAGGACGAAGACGAATAGATGTCAGGAGGAAAATGAACATGGAAAAAGTTAAAACTTTAGCACAAGATTGTTACCTGGGAGGGATTTTGAGCCTGATTTGGGGGTAAGGCCTCGTGCCCTGATCACCTCCACTTCCAGCTGGCCTTTCTTATCCATCAAACCAATCTGAACATCACCTGTGTTGAAAGAGACCAATTGTTAGAGAAGGCTTTAAATATGGAATGACAGCAAATGTAATTCCAAGTCAGTGGCCGTCATTTACCCATGGCAGGTGTTGCCAGTGTTTGCCGACCCACCAGTTGACCAGGGCCTAGGCCGTCCAGGAAGTCACTGAATTGACTATCGGCACCCAACCGCATTCCTGAGAAGATCAGACTGAAAGACATACGAGTATGAATATAGAAGCCAAGACACGTCCGAACTTCTGAGAAGGCTAAGATCTTTTTAGGGCTGAGGCGTAAAATATGACGGAATCCTGATGATCACGTACTTCCCCTCAGAGCTGTAGCTGTTCATGCTCCCATCAGTGGACTCTCTGCTGGCCTGTCTGTTCATGGCCGACCCTCCACGCGGATACTCCACCGCCATACCCGTCTCCACGCTCCTCTGAATAGTGCTGCTGCCGGCCTTGCCCACTTTTTTACCTGCTGACGCCTCTGTGGCAAACACAGAAATGTTTGTTGAGAGTCGAGTCTGGTGTGTTACTTATCTGATGAAAGGCTGCGACCAGTTATCAGGCATCTCATGAAATACCGACCAGTGGTTTTTCATCAAATCCCATTTGTTAAAAAAGAGGCCAATTAGAATTTAAATTATTTAAAAAGAAATCCAGGCAGCTGCTCTGGAAGCCTGATAACTGCAGGCGTCTTATCATACGGTCCATCCCATGCTGATCATCCCACAGTGACGTCGTCTTTAATCATTTTAGGGTAATTCAAAGTGTATGTATTAGTAATACATGCAGCTTGTGTTGAGACATTTTATATATATTTTAGGCTCCAAATATAAATATATTTAATCCAACCATGACGTAAAAGCCTGCTGGTTTTATCAAGTTCAGCTTCAGTTTCTCTAAGCAGTTGGTGTTTAATACCAAAAACCAGCAGACTTTTCCAGCCTTTTAAGGGACAGTTTGTTTTTTTTAAGGACTCTTGTGTGAAATACTGGAACATTTTCAAAACATGTGATGTTTGTCACTTGCAAGTGGTGTTACCTCCTGCAAGAACACTTAAAAACTTAAAATTATAACATGTCCCTTTAGATGCAATGGTAGAGAGGGAAGAGATGGTGGAGTGAGGAAGCGTGCCAGAGTTCAGGAAGGGCTGAAGGTGCTGGGGACCATTTTAATTTCTATCTAATCAAGCTACGATGTTTTCTAATGCTCTCGCTAAAAAGCCTTGAAAAGTATAATGTTCTCCACTGTTAGCTTCTGCTAGCTAGGCTCTTAATAATATTCCCACAACTTTTTCCACTTCAATTTTAATTGCTTGGAATTTACATCATGAACACCAGCTCCCAAGTCAGTCCTGGAGCCAACCTTAAAGGTTGTTCCCTTTAGGGGGCGATAAAAATAAGTTTTGTTCTGTGGCTACCATAGAACATGGAAATTGTATTGCTGTGTGAAACAGATCTATAAATCATTGACTGACTACTTCTACCTGCTGCCTATTCTAGCTCTTCGTCTAACTATTGCTTTACCTTTCTGTCTGTCCACCGCCTTACCCGCCGCTTCTGAAACAACACACACAACAACAACAACAAAACCCATAAACAACAATAACATCAGAAAAAAATAAACACACAAAAAAAGAGTGTCTGTAGGTCTTTCACACTTGGCAGGCCCCCGTGTGGTGAAACTTTCCTGTGTGTGTGTGTGTGGGAACACTTGGCAGGCCCCCGTGTGGTGAAAGTGTAGTTTGAGATCAGATCTTTCTTTGGTTTTTGGGCCGTCCTCCTTTACCTGTCTGGCTCAGTTGTGAGGTACTCCTGCTGCGTCTGGATGGCAGGATGGCGACGACCCGTTGGCTGAGGCTGGATCGCCGCTTCTTGATTCCGCTCCCCAGGCTGCCTAGTGCCGTGTCCGACTGGCTGCCGTCGGCGTGCTCCATGCCGTAGATTTCACCACTCACACTGGTGCTCTTGATGATGTGGCGGCCCGTCGCACGTATCGCCCGGCTGATTGGAAATACAAGTCACAGGGTGACGGACAAAGTCCGGGTGATTGTTGTTAAGTGTGTGTGATTGCAAGTATTTTAGTCGTCGTACAGAAATCTTCTGAAACCATCGACTTGATGACATGCTGACCTGATCTTAAAGGGACAGTGCGTGTGTTTACCTGAAGCGTCCTCTGGGTCTCTCTGACTGGATGGACATGTAGCTGGTGCTACTGATGCGAGAGGCACTGCTGGTACGAGAGATGGCTGACACGTCGCTGACATCACTGTCTGAAGACTTATGGGAAACATTTTCGCTACTTCTCCTCCTTTGATCCTTGTAGAGCTGCGGGGAACACACACACACAAACACACACACTTGGTTTAATTGTTTCTCAATTTGGCAAGAAAAATAGTTCAAGAACAAAAATCATAAGTTACGCACATCCCGTTTGTTCTTTAGGGCTCGGTCTAGGTCTTGTTGACTAGAGGGGTTGGCAGCTGACACACGGTTGGAGTGGACCCTCATCTGGAGCTGACGGACACGCTCTTCTGCTACCAGGGCTACACACACACAAACACGCATGTAGGTGGCGGTCATTTTTCACTCTTTTAATTCTGACAACTTTTTGAATTTCAAACACTGAGCCAAAAAAGTATTTATCATAAATCAAGATTAGAGCTACTGTTGGATTTAGCTGTAGCTCAGGGACTGCAATGCAACTTTATCCTAAGACAGTGACAATATCGCCAGCATTATTACCTTTAATTTTACCTGCTTAAGAAGTCAAATAGATAAAGATTAGAAAATGGAAGGAAGGGTGGTTGGAAATTAGCCAATCAGAGGCAGAGGAAGACAGACTTGTGGTGTTGGTTCAACCAATTCAGTCATGACCTTACACAGCTGTGTTGGACCAGACCCACCTTGTTCTGCGGTGTTGCTCTTCGGGGGAAGCTGTGGGAGCTGCCTTACTTTGCGGGCGGAGGAGGACATCACTGAGGAGGAAAGAGACGCACCACTTTGGAGGTGCCCCCTAAAATGTCATAACATCACAATAAAATAGAAAAAAAGGAACACAATAGATGGTAGAAAAAACAAAGAAAAGATGAAATAATAATAATCAAAAAATAAAAAAATGGAAAAAAACAAAAAGGAGAGAAAAAATAGTAAATCAGTGTCTTGGGACTGGAACGCCCATGTACTGTAGACAGAGTGAGCTCGCAGGCCGACAAACCTGCTGTCACTAAACCAGATCAAAGTTTTTAACCCGTTCTACCTCATGGGCAGAACAGCTCGCACTGTATGTCCATCAACTCCACTGTCCATCCACCTGTCACTGCTCTAATACACAGTCCATACACATTATTTACAGATTAAAAACTTTAGTTTCACCAAAACATCTCATCTAAGAATATTGTTTTATTCCAAATAATCATGATTATTCTCGATTAATCATGATCGCTTCTAAAGAAATTTGCATTTTTTTATGTAGGTCTCTGTTATTTTAGTCTCTGTTGTGGAAATGGACAAATCACAGACAGCACAGACGCTCACACACAAACAAAGTACAGTGTCAAGTATCAGAGAGGAACGACTGGGCAGCCCAGCTGTGTTCCACGCTGTCTGCAGTAACTGATGCTGGTTGAATTCCCTTACCGGGACGCTTGAGTGGGGGCTTTTTCCCTCGGGAGCCCCTCAAAATAGAGGTGGGCTTGATTCTGGTGCAACGATACAGACATGCAGTACAAACCCAGAGCAACACGATGCAGGTGTGGTAGCAGCATGCAAGAAGAAGAACGGGGCGGAAGATGGAGGTTGGACGAAGATGGGTAGAGGGAGAGGTGGGAAAAAAAGTTAAAGTGAAGACTCAAAGATTAGCACAAGCGTTTGGTTGACCAGGACTCACTAATCAACAGAGGTCGGGGCCGAAAAGGTTTTTAAAAAACTCTGTACGATCCAGGTTGTTAATGCTCAGAAAAAACTGAACATTATTAACATTATCAAAGTGTTTGGTAAAAGTTAGTTTGGAAACGAGGATGTAACTTTATTTATTCCTACAAATGACATTAAATTAGTGGAGAAAATCAAATCAAATAAACAAAAATACCAATCAGAATCTTATTGTTTAAATTCTAAAAAGGAAAAGTGGTCAAATAAGAAATTGTTACTGCGGCTAGAAGTTTGAAACAGCATAGCTAGATACTAGGCAAAGGAAAGCAAAAGGACAACAACAAGCTACGAGGTAGTCAAAAAGCTACTGAAGCTCAAGGAGAAGGTAGCAAATACACGGCCTCAATATCAACCAGGAATTTAACAAAACTAACTGAATGTCAACCTGACCTGACGTTGGTCAGACTCATGTTCCCCACTTTTATCATTTCAGACAGAAGATCTTTTATCATTTCAGACAGAAGTAGATTGTTTCTTCTTATTACCCTTGACTTTTTCAGACTGGGTGGGATGTTTGTTGGATGCCCAGTCTGGCCAGTCACCTGTAAATGCTAAAATCTACTGACATGTACTGACCCTGCAGCAGACGCCTTACCTGTCACCGTCAGAGAGCTTCCTGCCCACAGTCTGACATTCAGGTGTTTCCAAGGTCCGCGGCTGTCTGGAGAATGGTGTATGGGCAAAAGGAGCAGCACAGAACAGAAAAGAAAAGGATGGATGGATGGATGGATGGATGGAGGAGAGAATGATGGACAATAAATCATTTAGATGTGGAGGAATCTGACTCTGGAAGGGGAGGGGGGGCTGGCATTGGCCTTATAAGTTTATGACCTGGAAAACAGGAAATGGGAGGCATGCTGTGATGCATGGTGCGCTGGTGTCATGAATAATCACGTAATCGTCGGTAAGTGCGCCAGTGCCTGTGCCTGTGCGTGGACATGTGCACGTGGAGCGTGTGTGTACCTCGTCACTGCACTGAGGTGAATCATAGTCTCCTGAGAGGGGAGTAGCGTTCAAATTCTCCATTCATGGACATGAAAATGACAAAGATGATACATGCATCACCACAAGGGTGCACACACACGGTCACACTCCTGATAGTCTGAGTCATCGCAGTAGTACTGAGCCTTGAAGAGAAAACTTCTAGCACTGAGAGGTGGGCATCACACACACACATACACACACACACACAAATTCACATTGAAGCTGCAGAGGAAGACCTCAGGAATGAAGCAGAGGTGGAAAAGCTGCAGGAACCAGCTAAAGGAGTTTAAGAATCACCACGTCATAAAGCCATAAATCAGCCGCTGGAAACCAGGAAGGAAGGAGCAAGAGGGCAAAGGTCACAGCTACAACCACAGATTTAAACGATGCTGCTCAAAGTCTTCTTGTCAGACCACAAATCAGAAACACACATCACTCAGTCTCCACGAGTAAAAGCCACAGGAGCAGGAGGTGAGGGAGAAGATGTGACAGAAGATGTGTGTCTCTGTAGGAGACAGGGACATTATTTTGGGAAATATACTTTACTACATTATGGGCATGGTCACAAGTCACACAAAACACACACACACACACTACACCACATTTTTTGCACCGCAGAGGAGGACTAGGAAAAGTCTACGACACAAGTCAAGCGCTAGGAAGAAGCAGTTTTGCGGGGCGGGGTCCACAGAAGGATACCTGTCATCTTCAGGGGACGCGTGCTGAATAAGAATCCTGGGACTCGGCGGACGTCTCCGTGGCAGCGAATGTGACAATGTTCTTCTATGTGTACACATACAAAACATCAGGTATATCACCCATTTGACCAAATCAGTGAAACCACCACAACATCCATCAAAGCCATGCTGGTCCAGTATAAACATGCACAGAGCAAACAAGCAGCGCACGTCTCTGGCCCTGCCACGGCTGCAGATCACTGTCATAACACCAGGTTGACATTTCTACGCTGCTGCCATCCAACATCCAAAAACACGAAAGCAACAGAAGCCTGAATTAATCCCCCGTCATCAATCGACCGATGGCTTTGGGTCAAAGGTCAGTTAATCCTATGGGGAAATGCAGTGTCTAGAGGGAGCTCTCATAAAGAACTTTGATTTAATCTGTTAAGAAACAAAATTCAGATCAAAGAGTAGATTTATTACCTGTTTAATTTGTTGAGAAAATAATTTAAAAAAAGTCAAACGTTAGCCCTGCTAAATGTCTTAGTTTGCTAAAGGCTCACCTTTAGCTTTTTATTCATGGAAATACACATTTATCTAATGATGTTTTTAACACTGAATAATTAATTTCATAGACTGTTTGTCGTCTTTTCATGTAGCGATTGAAAGGCTAAATTTTGTAGCCCCTAAATTCTCCAACAGACGCACTACACCCAGATGGCCAAATATAGTTGTCACTTGAACTACTGCTCCCCTTGTGTTCAATAACTGAAATACGCTTCAAGTCTCAGAAACATCTGCGTCAAACCAAAAATGTCAAAAAAATGTTTCAGCCAGGAAAAAATCTCACACTGTCAGAAACAACCAGTGAAACTACCAGGTGGATCGGCACATAAACAACAGCGGGGGTGTAGAGAAGGGTGGTGGGAAGAGACTGTACACAAGAAATGGAGCGAGCCATCCAGGTTAATAAAAGTCCTTTTAAAAATATCCTTTTATTTGATATGTAAACACATTCCCAGCCTTCCTTTCCTATAGACTTCCATTAAAACTGAGTATTTTGTCTGCAGCCAGTGGAGTCGCCCCCCTACACCCTTCACCCCACTACCTCTGGTAAACTGCTGGATGGCTCTGTCCATCTCTAAAAGACAGTCTACATCGGAAGGATTAAAGGAAGAATCATCATCGGTTTGTGTGGGTCCAACCAAAAAGAGCAGAGGAAAAGACGACCACAAACATCACAGGAGGTGTTGGTTTTCGGAAGAAGAGTGAAATCAAAAGCAAACTACGGGATGGAGGATGGTGGGAACAGAGGCTGGTACCTTTCAGTCTCTGATGAGGGGACATGTTTGTCTGGAGTCAGACAGTTGGCGCTAGCGCTCCTAACCCTGTCCAGAGAAGGCTGAAGATCACTAGAGGCACCACAGCACAACATGCCATCCAATGGAGGAGGAAGAGAAAGACAGGAGGAGAGGACAGGAACAAAAAGAAAACAAGGAAAAACAATGAACAAAGAAAAACATTTGAAAACAAAGTCCAATTAGATTCTGAAAATCATAGTGTTAGTCCAACAACTAAACCATGACTGGCAGGATTTAGTAAAAATGGTTATGTCTAATGTCATGGAGGTGGAGTATGATACAAACATGTTGAGTGGTTGCTGTGGCAACAGATGGAAAGCTCTCTACACTTCAACTTTTACCTAAAAGTCCTGCGATGTTTTCACGCTCTGACTTTAAAGCAATAAAATGAATTCAGTAATTCTCAAATGTTTGGTCTGCTAAAGAACTTGGTCAGTTTGTCCACTTGAGTTTTTGTTCGTTTTGTACTGAATTATAACCTTCTCACTGAAAGACATCATGTGCCTACATTAGTCACTAATGCCCATTGATGATCCCTGTCGTAGACTTTAGACCTCTGACTAAAATACTCATATTGAGACGCAGTAAAAGTCTAAGAGTTTCAAAGGAGATACACAGAAGTTCGACACCATCAGATTTAAACTGGACCCAAAAACAACCATGTTTCTTTTGGTTTATAGTTAAAGGTTTGCTTTTAGTTTGATTTAAAAAGTACTATGATTAGTAATCCCCCCCCCCCCCCCCGCATATTTGTACTACTGATTAAATGTAAAAGATGTGCACCCTAAAGTACAGTACCACTGTTGGCCAGTAGGGGCTGTCTCTAAAACAATGTTGATAGTATATTGTCGCTATCCATCAAAAGTGTTTGTAATTTTCTAATTAAACAATTGTTCATTAAGTGCTATATTTAGCAATGTAACAATATTACTGGATGTGTCAATCTGTCAATCAAACAATCTGTCCTATGAAACAAGGGTCTGTGTGGTGGACGGAATGTCAGTGGACGTGTATCTGTGTGTGTGTGTGTGCGTGTGTGTGTGTCTTACCTAACTGCCACCTCATCTCTGAACATTACAACCCTGTGTGTGATGGATGGGCGAGCTGCCATGGATTTTTGTGATTCCATGACAGAGCTCATCTTTGGACATGCAGGCAGCGTTGAACTAGTCACACAACGTGATGAAAATCCCCCCCAAAACAGAAGAAGAAGAAAAAAACACAACAAAAACAAAGAGCATGCATTTACTAGTGACAACAAAAGAGGACAAAAATGGCAAGAGAAATGTCAATAAATCTGCTGAGTTCTAACTGTGGTGGTTTGTATGTAAAATCATGTCTTTATCTTTACAGTCTGATCAAATATCTATTTTTACTTTTCAATAAATATTTACCTATTTCTATTTGTAGTAAAGTATAGTTCAAATGGAAACCTTCATCAAAGCACTTCTTGACTAGATTTTACTTGGACCGATGACATAAAAAAAAAACAATGACACTGTGTTGCCTTGCAGCTAGCAAGTTTATAGTAAACCGTTTTCAGAAGGGACGGAATTTGATAGCTAAGCATCTTACAGGTGATGTTTTGTTTTTTATTTTTGCTTTTCAAAATATAAAATTATATGTTGTTTGTATTGTGGTAATTCTAGCAACGAAGGCCGGAACTACAGGTAAGCGCTCAAACGGAACGTTAACAAAGTTACACAACACCGCGCGTCGCGTTTTCGGTCCCTGAGAGTTGTACAGGAGAGGTGTGGCAAAGTGAAAATGGCAGAAGGAGAGTTATTGCCTCGAACAAGTGGATTATATCAATGTCGTGGGATTATTTTAACGACAGAAAAACGACCAGAGTGTCGTCGTGGATGACGGCTTTCCGGCTTTCAAAGAACGCCATGAAGTTGCGGTGAATGGAGGAAATACATCCAATGTTTCATCACCTGCGGGACAACCAGCCGACATTGTTCGCCAAAATAAAGGTAAATACACAGTAATTTCATTGAATTACGTCAGCGTTTTCCTAACGTGCCATTGAATTGGTTGGAAACTGAATGCTAATGTTGGCTTATTTGCATTGTATATTAGTGTACGAGGCGGGTTCTGGTCCCAGTGCAACGTCATAAGTTACGCGACATTTACCCAACCTTACATTACACTGTTAGTATGTAAACATGGCGGTCGATCGTTTTTTGTTTTGTTTTTTGTGGTCAGACAGTTTCAGTGTGTAACATTTAGCTCCATTATGGGATATCCGTTTCATTCATTACTCATTTGTGACTGTCGTTGTAATTTAAACGTAAACGAACTAAAATAATAGGCAATAGGTTTTACGTGTGGTCACAAAGTTAAACAAATTATTTAAACGATTAATCATCTGGTTTATATATATATATATATATTTTAGATCCTCTGTGGCGCATTGTGCATTTTTGTGTGTCCTTGAACTGGAGTCTGTAAGATGACTTGACTTTGTTAGATATTTCCCCTGGAGGATTAATGATTGGTCCTGTATAAATATATACTTAAGAAACACAAATATTGGGTCTGATAATTAGTAATGTAATTATATTTTCGGACAATAGTCCATAAAATGAGGTGCTTGTCTTCAGATAGTACTACATCTGTAGTACTGAAGAAAATGTGAGTGCATTCAGCAGGTTGTATGTATTTAACAGTCATTGTATTTGTTCTAAATCCACTACTAAAGTTTTTAAAGAAAACTAGTAAGGGGGGGTCACGTAAAGGGGGTCAACACTGATCTGCAGACTTACCTTTTTGTGTGTTTGTTGATGCCGTTGAACAAAAGTGGCATCTTGGGTGGCAGTGTGTTACTGTGCCTATTGGCTCTCCTGGTGTTAGCATGCATGCAGTTGGAAAATGGAAAACAAGTATGTGGAAGAGGAGAGAATAAAAACAAAAAACAAACAACGGAGATGTTGGAGTTCAACGTTCTACAAGGTGAAGCTGAGAGCGACTTAACCAGTGATGTACTTATTTCAATGTCATGTATGTTCAGCTTAGTCAAAAAGATCAGTTAACTTTGGGAGTTAAATTGAAAATATCACTGGCTAAGCTTGTGTGCATTGAAGTGTAAGCAAGTTGAACTAAAAAAGAAAAGCGTGATAAGAAAACAAGCATTAGAAGCCCTCTGGTGGTGTGTCAGGTGACCATTTAAAAACAGTCCTTTCTTTACACAAAGATGGATCATTTCAAGTGTTGGGTGTATTAGACAGCTTTCCTTATGCCTTTGTGTTTCAAATCTAACAATGGTTGAGTTATTAATCTGAATTTAAGATCTGGATTTTATTAATCTGTTGGCAGCTGCTGCTTTATGGTGTATATTTGTAGTTTTATGTAGTTGTATGTGTTTATATATTTAACTTACAAATCCAGGACTTCTAATTTTTAAGTTTCAGCCCTGCTCTAAATTTGGTGGGAATTCAAAGTTCTTTATACTTAATACACAGCTTGTTAAACAAAGAAAACAAATGCAGTTATTAGACTGAATGTTTACACGTCTATCAAGTCAACGACGCTGGCGTGCGTTCATGGAAAGGCCGACACTGTCCTCTTGTGGAGCAGAGACAGAAATGCAACTAAAAACTGGACCAGTCGTCCTTTTCTGTCCTCTCTTTTGGTTATCTTTTAGATAACTTTCAGCGATTCCTTTTCTACAATCCTTTTTCACTGTATGGTTGTGGACATTTTTCACCATTTTTCCAAATTCTATTTCAAATCATTAAAAAAAATGCTGTGTTGAGAAACAAAGTCATGATGTACACAGTAGACACAAAACTAAAAAATGGCCCATTAGCCTAAACCACTGAATGTAAATATACAATAAAACATCGTGTTTGGCCATTTTACCTGGTGTGGAGACACTCGGCACTTTTGCCTCGCATTGACTGGTGGATCATGATGATCTCACTGTCGTAACGATGGGGATGGATGACAAATGGGGAAATAAACAACAGTCAAAAACACCGGTAAGAGATAAAGAGAGAAAGAATAGGAAAGAGAGGTTCTTGCTGATTTGTTCCACAGAAAAACACACAACACTGAGAATGCCACCAACTTTTCTCTAACTTAAGCCTTTTTCTTTCTAAAACGTCACTTTCACACTTTCAGTACTGAAGAGCTACTGCGCACTATTGGGGTTAAAAGCAATCTAGGTACAGAAAGGGTAGAAATAGACTAAAAGTAATGGGAAAAACTAGAGGAATTTGCCCCAGTTTTATCAAAACCTATGAAAAGGTAACTTTCTACAACTTTTGCACAAAACTTTTACGGCTCATTCCCAAATGCTTACACAAAATCACACAGAAGCTGCACAGAAAAAGCACAGTCACAGCTGGAATAAATCTTCATGTCATTGTCTTGGATTCGAGTGCGTTCACACTTGTCGTGATTGCGTCATTTAGTGTTTTTTTGTCAGGTGTGGTTTTTGTAAGTGTCAGGTGTGATAAGAGGAAATGGCAGATCTGGTGCTAAACATAGGGTATGCGTGAAGGGATGGATGGATTTGCTACAGATACAGTAAATAAGGAGAATTGTTTTTTGCCTTTAGCAGGGAGGCACACACGTTATCTAAGAATGTTGCGTTATATGAACATCATAGAGACAACAATTTGAATTTGTGTGGCTTTGGTTGCTGTTATATGAACATCATAGAGACAACAATCTAGTCCAAAAAAAAAAGTAGTGGTTTTAATAAGTTAAGTGAGACCAGCATCATCACTGGCATGATGAATTGTTTCGGTTGTGAATTTGTTTTTTGATAAAGAAAATGTCATTATTAGGTGAAATAGGAAATTAAATGTGCTGAAGAAACTGACCTAATATACAAACTACAAGTGTGAACACACTCTTCATTATAGACCCAGTCCCAAATGTCCAAACCTAAACCTTCATCCACTTTAGTTACATCGGACCAACACCACATTCGGACCAAATTCGTTGTGTCTTTGGCCTGCATAACCCAGCTCCTCAGTTCAACCACTAGATGGCAGACTTCAGACACAATTAAATTTAGCTGTGGTTTATTTCGATACTATGACATTTCATTGAACCATTCAGTAATAATGAGTGGGGAAAATAGCAAAAAAGAAATGACAGTGGGTACAGAGTTTATATTTAAAATCCAACTGTGCCCTTCAAATATCTAAAAACGTAAAGGTAAATGTTACATTCTTTCATTATCATACTTCAAAATCCCAGACAGTTCCTGTCTTACTAACGAGCCATCCATCCAAAGTGAAAAAGATGTAAAAACAGATTAACACAGTGTATTTACACTGTCCATGTCAATTTGTGAACTTATTTATAAAACATATTAGCATATTTCCGACACATGCTGTTGGCAGTTCTGTGGAAGTCTGTAAAAGTCAGAATCTTATAGAAAGTTATTATAAAAAGTCTAACACTGTCTCTTCCTGTGGGACAAACTTCAATTCCTTGACCAATGACGTTTATTGTGTTGCCAAATATTTGAACCCTTGAGGGTGGACATTGGGACTGGACCTAGACATATACTACAAGCCTTGTACACACCTGTCATCCACATACTCCTCTTCCTGGTGGCGACCTCTGGCAGAGTCGTAGAAGCGATTTGGAGAACGAGAACGGCGACTGTGAGGAAGCTCATCGTCCAAACTCCTGGTAGAAAAAAAAAACGAAAGAAAAGACAAAAGACTTGGGTCAGGTAAACGGTCAGGCTATATTTCAGTGGACTCTTGGCAGGAATCTTTTGGCTCAGACTGTTGAAGCAGAACTAACAGAGCAGTGTGTTTCACATCAGACAGACGTTTCATTAGTAGATGGACTGCTAACTTCCAACAGTCGCTCACTTCCTCCCTGCACCATCTGCACTGAGGCTTTTACTGCTTAGATGTGACCAGTGTCTTCTGGCTGAGCTGCATTTTTGTCCTTCATTATTTATCGCCATTAGACATCAGAGCAGCTAGCACGTGAAATAAAACTTGGTTAGCCGCCAGCTCTCACCTCTGGGCAGGAACGTTGGGTGGCCTGGAACGAAGTCGCCCCTGTTCCTCGCGGTGCGGGGAGACTGAGCGGGATCGTATATGATGAGAGGGAGTCCTCTGCTGATCGGGCACCTCCAGTGTGGACGAGGACTCTCGTTGTCGTTCTCTGCCACGCCCATCCGCCGCTGTTGGTCAAGAAAGGCCGTACACAGGCGAATGTTAGACATCAGTTATGTTGAGCCCATCGTCTTTCCATATGTTTCTGTGAATGGTGAACTATTTAGGGAATTTGTCATCGTTAGGTTGAATGTCGTGTTTTGTATGGTAGTAATCCTATGTATCTTGGAGTTTTACCCAGATCAAGCGATGTAATGAAACATGCGACTTCTTTAATTAAACACTGAATTGAGGTAACTTTGTAGAACAAATATTGACATTACTACTAAGCTAAAAAGCAAAAGTAAACACTCTTGGTAAAGTCACACACAAATCGTTTAGTTGTGATTTATGTCAATCTAAATATCATTTAGTTGTGATTTATGTCAATCTAAATCAATAGAATAAATTAGAACAATAGAACATTTTGCTAAGCTATAGTTAGCTTAAGACCAGAGACTTGTACATCTCTAGCTAATAATAACAAAAATGCATCAAAATGTATTGATTGATTGTCAGATTTTGAAGATAATAGTGTCTGTAAATATACTGAAAAGATTCACAACATATAGAAAAGAAATCAAACCCTTATATGATATATGATATTAAAATAGTAATATGATAATAAAGTAGTTTTTATGCTGCTGCGTTGGTATTGTGGCTACAATTTCTGTATATCACAATAATATTGTTTGTTTTCTTTGCCATTGATTTGCACACAATATACAGGTGTCAACCATATATTTCACTTGTTACTATGACACTTACCTCATAGAGCAGCAAGAGTTATCCTGCAAATGAACCAGTTTCTAATTTCCCATTAGCTACTGTAACTATCAGGGACAATGAAACACATCCCTTTAAAACCCTGTGACCATAACAAACAAGGACACAAACTCAGACACCAGACAACTACAGAGTACAGATACACAGCAGTACAGACACAGACACACACACACAAAGGCAGATCATTTTAGCATGCAGGCTCATGTTGTATCTACAGTCCAAAATTAGCAAGAGAATTTACAGATTGTTCTGTAGCTTGGGTACAGTATGTTACACTGTGTCAAGGATTATTATTACTTTGATTTTCACATCACAGGACTGTTTAAACGACACCAATTGAGCATTTGTCCGACACTTTAGTCGGACAAGGAAAACGGCAAAAGAAAATTATTTAGAAATAAATAAAAACACAATAAATAAAAATAAGCTGAACCCATTCAGACCTGGCGTTAGATCTGATGACAGGTGGATGGTTTTCAGTCCATGTTCATGTCTACACCAGGCCTTAAAATTCAAACTGGATCAGTGGTAACCAGTTGTGACTGAGTCTTACTTATTCTTGCATGTAGACCATACATAAGAAACCAGGTCTGAAAGGGGGACACGGTAATGTGGAAACTGTCCCCACCCACCTTTAGATACTACTGTTGTACCCTCATCAAACTCAGGCTCTGTAACACGCTGTGAACCTAAACAGTTATAGACACAGACACACAGACAGGGGTATAAACACACATACAGGAACAGCAACACATATTTATCCATTGTTAACACCTCCATATTTGCAGGAGCAGATGCAGAGTCAGGGAAGGTGACCAAAAGAGGACATTTACATGGACATCTACGTCATATAGGTACAGATTAGTACGTATGCCTTTAGAATTCTACATTTATTTACACACAAACTTACGCTGTAGCTTCTTGCCGGGTGTGTCTGTGTGTGCGTGACGCCGGGGCAAGAATGGGGAAGGTCGGGGCAGCGGTATGGATGAGACATCATGGGTTTGCAGCGGGTACCAGTGAGGCTTGTCGTCCAGTAAGGCTGTCTCTAGCTCTATCAGGATCTGTCAAGTCATAATGAAAGTACTGAATGTACCCTGTACATTTGACATGATGTCGTATCTAGACTGAGGGTCTGCAACCCTCATTACACCGTTCTTCCATTTTCATCATTTTACCAGGAAATAAAATTCCCAGCAAGCATAACTACAAGTCTAAGTAGGTGGTATATAAGTGAAGGTCATGCAGGAAGTTGTTTACCTCCCCCATGAAAGTGCTGTCTTCCTCTGGCGACCTAGGCTGGTCCCACACTGTTAGCTCAAGCATGTGGTTGCGGAAATCCCTGCGATGGACATGAGGGTAGACAAAGGTCTGGTTCCACTTGGGCTCGCAGGTCTTCTTCACGGCTTTGGTCCGTCTCTTGCTCTTGTCACTGTGTTTACAGATGCAGGTACAGATTCCTCAGCAAAAATCACTCCCCTCCAGAGTCACCTGTTTTGTGTTGTAGTTTAAAAGTAATAACTAATGCCTTCTGGGTTCCTGCATTCATCTAAATATATTCCACTAATGTGATTTATGTGGGCACCGAAGCATTGTGACATTTAGCTGAGGTTTCAGGTTTGAATCGTACGCAGGCACCAGTGAAGCGGTTGTAGTTTCTCCCATGGCCACTAGATGCTGCTTCTGACTAATTTCTCCTTTTTGTGTTCAGTTACTGACGTGAACAAAAATAATTTTGTGACATTTGCTTCCGTTTCCTCATTAGCTACGTGCAGCAAACGGCAATATCTGTGCCTGCAGCCACACCTGCGAGAGTACGAACCTCAGCAGCTGCTAACTTGATGTCAGCCTTTTTATTTTTAGTTTGTTATTTTAACCCAGGTTTTTGGAGATCAGTGGTGGTTCTCTTATTGTACTTGCACTTGAAATTGAATAGGTAATTTTGTATTTTTAGGTGAGTGGAAGTTCCCGTGTAGGGTTCAGACTCTGTTTCTTATTTTCCTCTCTGTTGTTTGATTTTTGTCTGGTTTGTTATTTATTTCATTGTGAGTATTTTTGGCGTAATAATTCCACCATTTCTATTGGGCCCAATCCACACACAAGATGCCATTAAAGATCCTGAATTTATTGCTATATGTGGGCCAAGTAATTAAGGGTTATATGGCCCATCGTTGGACCAGACCAATTTACTTAGGGAGATGGTCTGCAATGATCTGTGCTGTTAAGACGTAACACAGGCCTTGATGTTGGACATTATCAACCTACTCATTTGCAATAATCCTGATGTAATGACTAAGGTTTTCATCTAAAGTAGAGAGTATCTGGAGTACCTGCGATCAGGTAGAAAGTACATTTTGACATAGGGGCTTCTGGGTCTTCCGTCAGGTCGTAGAGGGAGCTCCACGGCCTGCAGCACGTTGACTATTAGCTGATGACCCACTTTGTCGTACCACAATTTCACCTGAGTGGTACAAATGTAGACAATTTTAATGAGGAGTTTTGTTTAAAAAAAACTGTGTCAACATCTTCATGCCTTTTCAAATCCTGTGTACTCACTGAGAGTTGCCCTGGCATCAACTGTGGAGCATCTTGTAGCATCCCGGGACTGGAGGGAGACAGGACATTTAAGGACGGTCTCTCCATCTTCTGTGATTCAAAAGAACTGGAACCTGCTATCAAGACAAAACAAAACACAAGGATGTTCTGTAACCCCCCCAAAAATTCTGGAGAAACCAATGTTTATTTTAGATGAAAACCAGAGGATAAAACAGGACAAGGTTTGTAGGGAGTGGAGAGGCAACCAGGTCCAAGTCTAAAATAAAACTGTTCATGTTTATGCAGTACACACACAGCATTAAGAGTTCCTTTAGTTAGAAGATGTCACATTAAAGGAGAGCGCAGACCTAACCTGTCAGGATGACAAATTACCAGGCTTCTGTCCTACTTTGAGTGGAGTAAGCCTTTGTTTAGAAGTTTGCAATGGTCCTTAAAAAAGGCTGAATGATCAAAATAATACTAATGATTTATGCAGAAACCCAGATTTTTTTTCTGGGACCCAACACAGACGTAGGACAGAAATAATTTTTTGTTAAGTAATGACAGAAAGGAGATGATTGATTCCTGGCTCGTGTAGTACAGATACGATTCATTACATCACTGTCTGCGATGTTTAGCCATGTCTGGGATTTCTTTTATGGTATTTAGTATAGATTCTGTTTTTGTCACTACATCTAAGTATTTTGGATAAAATATTTAATATTTGACACAAAAACATGACACACATTTTAAAGTATGACTAAATTAACATCAACTTGAACAACAATGACAACATGCACGGATACCTACTAGATTCTAACGGAGGGTGGGATGTGTCGGGGATTCTTGGGATATCACTGAAAAAAAAGGAGCAGCAAAGACGTCAGATCAGCGATTATTTGTCATTTGTAATACCTGGAACTGGAACCGAAACAGGTTTCTAGTACTTCTTGATGCACAGGCTCACATGCATATTAATGCATTAGCAGTGGGCTGGAAGAGAAGTTAGCATAATGGTTTTGGGGATCAAACAAACAGCAAAGAGAAGCAAAATCATAACCAAGCTCTTCTCCTGGCTGCAGTGTTTCCCAAACTCATCCAGTCAAGTTAATTTGTCTCGTCAGCCAATCATCACCTAGAACAATTATTGATGAGCACAGGTTGTCTGGTCTCACCACCTTTCTCTGTGGGAAACACCGGAATCAACTCTACAGGCTTCATGTGTGAAGTTAGCATGAAAAATCAATGCAACTCTTATCAGTGTCTTTTTGTTGTTCTTTACCATTTCTTTATATATATTTTACCTGGGCATCATCTTGATATTTTCTATAATTTATACATTTTTACCTCCTTTCTGAGAGTTTTACTTCATCTTCTAAAAAGCTGCCCCAGCAGCTAACATTGTTCATGCTGTTCATGAGTTCCATGAACAAATGATAATTATATAAACCCCCCAGAAAGAAAGAAAAATACTTTGATTCCATTTTAATTTGAGCCCAAACATTGGTTTTTAGTTTAAACATTGAACTGATAAGAGTTCCTTGGACACTTAGAGCCTTAGAGCCTACGTTTCCAGAATTGAAATCATTTTAATTGGAAAAAAATAACCATACTTTTTGAATGGAATCCTCAGACTTTAACCAATGAAAAATAATGGAATCCCAAGCAGTTGGAAAGTTGCAGGATTTCCCAATCACCATTTTGCATCAGCTCAGATATATTGCCCTTTATTTTGGAGATTCTTTCAACTCCAAAATTTGGACGTTTGAACTTGTTCAACACAAAGCCAATGTTTGTATCTGCACGGAAGTGTCAGAGCTGAAGATATCTGAAGATGCAAAATGGCAGCAGCATGACCAGAACTGTCTTCAAATGCGAGAAGAAACTATGGGATTTAAAAAAGGAAAACAATTGTCAAATTACTTACTGATATTTTCTACACACCCTTTGCAAGTGTTTGGAGAGAAATAATATGTTCAACTTTTTATCCATAAAACAGCAGAGGGGGTTAAATCTTATGAGAGGCTGTGAAATCGTGTTTGACTAAGAATTTGAACATGTAAACTGTAGAAATTGTTTGTTTTTTTTTATCAACATTAAAACATCCGTTAAGTGTTTGACTAAGAATCTGAACACGTAAACTGTAGAAATTGGTTTTTTTTATCAACATTAAAACATTTACATAAAACACACTTTTACTATAAATAATATGTTTCCCGTTATGGTTGGTATCCATAGTGAAGGCATCCATGGATGTTTTTGGCGTCAAAACAAAAATATAGTTATGGCGGGAACTCTTTCGTTGAGTTCCACACTTTTGTTTGTGACATATAGCAGAACTGAATGAAAAGAAGGCTAGGCCTAAGGTGTCCAACCACTGGGTCCCAGAACATTACTGCCTGTAGAACAAAATTGTGGATTATTCACATTTATCATTGGATTCTCTATCAAATACAAACGCCTCTGGACACATTCAGATTGCTCATCAAAATAAAAGTCTTTGTAAAGCTTCTTCAAAAAGGGAAAAATACCAACAGCACGAAAAAGTTTAGGGAAGGAGATAGTCTTCTTGTTGCTTATCTTGGCTTTAAATATTTTAACCGCAGTACTATAGTCTCCCCCAGAATACAAATATGAACTTCTAACTACCTGCTGAGGGCAGCAAAACACTGAGTCACAGTCCTTCGTCAACACTTTTGGATTTTAAACTAAGGGTTAAATTCAGTCCAACTCACTGGACCAAAAGTTGACTAAAAAAGTAACGGGCTGCGCACATTTCCTCACAGCACCAGTATATGTCAGTGACGGTGTGTTGTGTGTATGGGTCTTATTCCAGACTTACCCTATAGGTCTGGAGACCACCAGCTCCACCTGGGGCTCAGACTGAGACTCCAGAATAATGTTGTAAACTTCCTTCATGGTGGCACCAGGTAACAACTTCCCGTTCCACTGCAAAACCTCATCGCCTGGAATTATAGAAGCAGTTTTTTTAAACAAGCTGATACTTAGTTTGTTACTGCAGGTTACTTCAACTGTTGTAGTAATATCTTTATTATGTTTACACTTGATGTTGTGATGTTTTACCTGCTCTCAGATGTCCCACCACGTCAGCCAGGCTTCCCTTCTTAACTTTAGTGATGAAGGCACCTAATCTGCCCGACTCTGTGACTCTACCTCCCACCACCTGTGAAAAAAAGAAAAAAAATGTAACTATTTCCATATGTGTATATATGTATATATATATATATCTATTGAGGGCCCACATTGACCTTTAACCCCAGCAGAGCTCCAGCTTCTTTAGGCATCGCAGCGCTCCTCTTACTTAAGGTGATTCGTCCAATCAGATGGTCGCCCTCTTTGGATGGTTGCCAGGTTACAGGATGCTGAGACATAAAATAAAAATGTAAATGTAAGACATCTGTTGTTATTGTTGGGCAAAGTCACAAATACATTTACGTGCTGCAAATTGTTCACTGCAACCCATTCAAAAAAATCTGACCAGATGTCAAGGAGTCTTTAACTGTAATTTTACTATGAGTTTGTAGTAATCTGTGACTGTAGTAGACAGAATATACATAGATAAAAAACAAGTTCATTGATTCAGTCTAAAACCAAAATTAATTTGACTTAAAAAAAACATTGCATGCTGTGTCAAAACTGCAGTTAATCATAAATCAGTTACTGGAAACCTCTGATTAACATGTTTAATTTTTAAAATCCTTATCCAACCATCAGACATCCAACCTGAACCGCATGAAAAAAAAAGAAATTTACATTTTACATTTTACTTTTACATGCAGCACCCGAAGAGTGTGAATGAAAAGCAACAGATTCTAAAATGATAAATGGTAGATTTCTACTTTTCTACAGCACCCGAAGAGTGTGAATGAAAAGCAGCTTGACGAAAACTCTTCACTTACAATTTGATGTGATCGTCTCTTTACCTGTGTTAGAAATAAGACGCAGAAAAAAGTAGAACAAACAGAGACTTACATGCCAAACAGTGGGGTCATGTGGGTAACACTCCCAGTCACCTGTGAGAGAGGAGAGACATTGAATCAGACAGTGTGGTTGAAAGAAGAACATCTACCTACACACACACACACACACACACACACCCAGCAGAGGCTGTATACACAACACATACCAGCCCCAGGCCTCTTATACACAACTGGAGCCAAATTTAGAGGCTCCTCAAAAGGTATTTGTTTACATGTGGAGAGGCAGTTTGACTTTATTGAATAATCAGGCTTCAGCTGAGCTGGAATCAGAGATTTACGACCTGTGCTTCAAGAATCTGAGGCTGAAAGACGTCCTCTGAGGCAAAAATGACTATATATATATATATATAAGTGGTAACGAACACATCAGATGTGATAGAATCAATTCTCAGTGATGTAAAAGCAAGTCGTAAATGGTGCTGGTGATAATTGTGATGTTTTTTTTAAGAAAATATGATTATTGTTTTAATTTACTTACTGCTTTTAGCTGATGTCGCTAAATATTTGGCTCACGTTTTGCTCATACTTTTCATAAGATTAAGTATTAAATTATTTTCGCTACATGTTATATATAACTATTTCTGGGAAACCTTTAATTTTTGTTCATTGTTGTCTATTTTTATCCATCAAATTGACAGTTAGCTATTCCTTAGCTAACTTTTAGCTGTTGTTATTCTTATTCTAAAATTATTTCTTTTGTTTAATTTGTTTTCAGACCAATAACAGTAATTTGCTGTGATGGTGATACTTGTTTATTATCCTTCTGAATTTGTTATTTTTAGGAAGCTCCTGTTATTTTTTTTTTCTCACATTCTGCGGGACATTTTTTTTAAACAATTAGATAAAACTGTAATCAAATGTTCAGCCCAGATCCTGCTTCAGCCCAAACACAGCCTCCGTTACACACGAGCCGCTGATGAAACGCACGCAGCATTTCAACCTCACTGTTATGACACTGAGTTAAAACAGAGCAACACGTTCCTCTCAGCCGTAAAACAACGAGGTTGACCAGGTGGCGATATATAGTGACATTATGTAATTTTATAGAAAAGGTTGACTTCTCTGTAGCATAAATATTATTCTCTATGACATGAATGAGTTTTTTTATCTTGTTTTTACTCCTGACAATCAAAAGACAGAAAGGAAGAAATCCAACTTTTTAAGTTTGACAATAGCTAATTAGCCAACTAAAATCAAAAAGCTAATGGTTTGCGTAGCAACAGCTAAACTTAACCTTAAATGGCCAAGTGATGGCAAAAAACCTCAAGACATGACGAAAGTTAAATTAGCTGAAATGAAGCAAAAAAATAGCCTTTAGAATAGCTAAACATTAGCTCAGAAATTACATAAGTCACCCAAAATACAGCTGAAAACTACTAAAGAATACTTTGAACCTACGTTGATGCTTAACTCAAATAACAGAATGGAAAAAATGGACCAGAAATATTTAAAAAACAATTCAGAGTTTGACTGAAGTCTTTCCTGAAAAACCACAACTTAAAAACAACATTTAAATAATGAATAATAAAAGTCAAGCAAAAGTTAGTTCTACTAGTAGTAGCTACAAATTATTAAAGTTCACATATTGATACGTTATTCAAATATAAAAGGAAAAATGTTGGATGACAAAAGGACAGCTAAATGTTAGCAAGGAAATAGCCAACAGTTAGCCGGAAGGGGATCTTGATGTGAATATTTTTAAAACTATTTTATAAAATACCATAAACTGGTTTCAGGCATCCAACTACACTGTGACTGTGACTGTGTGACTGTGTGTATGTGTGTGTGTGTCCAGATTTTTCTGCACTGATCTTCCAGTGATTTACATGCCTGGACGCCCTATGCTGCCAGCAAACACATCTCAGAGCTGAGCCGAGCCTCAGTCTCGAGCTAAAAAAGGAAGCAGCATTTCACTGCCACGGTGCTGTGTTTAAAACCTGCTGTGACAGAACACTCTCACAATAAACTTCCACTCGATCCATGTCACAGATTCTGATCTTAGTCCAACATCTCGTCGCTTCACGCTGCATCCTCTTTCCATCAGATGTGGGGAACTTTATTGATGTTGGCCATAGAACACAGTGAAGCAATTACGTTATGGCATGAGCACAGCTGCACCGCTGATGCTCTGTGCATTTTAAACACAGTCAAGGTTACAGAGTGTAAATGTAAAATCACACAAATGGTCCAAAATATTTTGAATTTTAGCACATTTAAAAAAATATATATATTAATTGAAAAACATCACTTTTCTCTCCCTGTTTGGTGATGACCACAAAGTTTTACGACACAATGTGTTACATCCTCATCTGTACGACTACTATTAATTATTTGCAGTAAATCTTTTTGTAATTTCAGATGCAAACTGATGTCTAAAGTCAGTTAAAGGCTGGAACGGCTGCTTGTTGTAACGTCAACCTAATGTCTAATGGCTAAAATAGCAAAATAGATGTTAATAATTTTTATTTATTAGCCAAATTCCTCTCTACAATTTAGTAAAATAAGCTGTTTTAGTTACACATTTATATACAGGTACTTAAAGAGCCACATTTTTGTGCAAAGTAGAAATTATTAAGTTAAGAAAATAAATCATAATAACATAGTCTCAACACTGAGGTCGCTGAGGGTCTTCAGTAGGGGTCAGCCAGGGTCAAAATGTCCCATCAAAGACACATTTAACACACATTTATGAACCTGTCTCCTCGTATGAATAGACATTTGGGATGTTGCCCACAACACCCTTTACACCCTGTTTACGAAACATGTCTACAAACGTTGCAGGCTGTTCAGAAAACAACATTATTATTTTTTAAAGTGCATCAAAAGACACAGCCTTACCTTCACGACAAACTGAAGCCACAGAGTTAAAGCAGTGAACAGTCTGACACTCGCACAAGACTAAAACTCTCTGTGCATTTCTAAAATTCACACCCTGTGTCACGGTGTGGGAGTGTTCACACACAAACACACACACGGCAGGTCCAGACTTCATCTGGACTTCATGGGCAGAATGACACTGGATGTGTGAAAAGAGTCTGCATTTTTACTCCTCTGAGGTTTTTTGTTTTTTTCTTAATCCTAATGTAATTAACTTGAGCAAAAACCTCACTGCTAATGTCACTGTTTAGCTTCAGTCAGTAGCGTTTGAGTGTTTTATGTCATCTCATCACATTATCAGACAGATGTCAACAACAAAGTGTTTTGAAATGTCTGATGTCTTCGCAAAACGAAATAGTAAATAGTAAAAAGTAAAATATCAAAATCCACTGGAACTAGAAACATTTGAGAAAAAAGTTTAGCCAAACATCTGCTAACAACATTTATACATTTTGTTCTAGTGTCTGTTGTAGTGCAAAAGAAAACCTGATAGCCTATAACCTAATATTAGCTAAATGTTAGCTGATAGCACAAAACAAACATTATAAAACAACAGATAACGTTCTGATATTACTGTAATATTATGATGGGGTTAAAGTCGTCCGTTACCTCTCTCGCTGACACTTTCGATCTCGGCGTCCTCGCAGCTGCTGTACTCAGGTGTGGTCCCTCCTTCCTCTTCAGAACTGCTGACACTGGTCTGCCTCTTCCCACCCGCCCCCAGCCCGCGTTTGGATTTGTAGGGCCTTGGCGGTGGGGGACGCAGAGACTCTGATTGGTCAGAGCTTAGTGAATCGTTACGCAGCATGCTCTCCGCCTTTTCCCTTTTGGTCCTCTTCACCACAGGTCCCTGACCGGGTGCTATGCCGGGTCCTGAACCCGGAGGCTCTCTGAGTTCAGGGGGTGGAGCTTGCTCAGAGAGGGCAGGTTCATGTTGCCCACCAACCCCACCCACGGTCCTCTGACCATGCCGTGCGCCGTCCCCATGTTCCCCCACAACGCCCATGCCGCGACCCTGCAAGGACCCAGCGTGTCCTCTACCTCCAGGAGGCACCTGCCCTGCTTGGCCAGGGGTGGCACCATTGTGGTCCACCTGACGGTAGCCACCCTCCTCTGTCCGTCTTACACCACCCGCGCCTCCTCCTCCGCCTCCACCCACAGGATCATGCTCCAGAGAGCGTCCCTTTGTCAATTTCCGGCTCTCTCTGCGTTCCCTGGAATCACCTTGTGGCTCCCGGTCCATGGACACTTGGGTCTGTAATCTGGGGGGTCCTGATCGACGGTCTCCTCGACCAACTCTTCGTCCATTTCTTCTACAGGACACAAAAAAAAATGTTCCACCGTTATTTTCCTTTTAAAAACAAACACATTTGCTGTCTTTAAAGTTTAAACATCTAAACGCAGATGTTCTTAAACTATAGTACTCTGGTAAACTGGTGGTTCTTGTGGTACTTCTCTTTCCTACTGCCTGGCAGCTCAAGGGAAAACTCCATGTTGGGTGAACCCTTGACCTTATCCACATTTAGCTTGTTTTAATCGAAGACGTCAACAAAGAAGCCAACCAGGAATTCGTACCTATGTTTCTCTAGGATATTGCTGATTGTGTCAACAAAGAAGCCAACCAGGAATTCTTCGTAACTATGTTTCTCTAGGATATTGCTGATTGCTCTGTCTTACGTGTGTCGTGGCGGTTCGCTACGTGACCGTGAATCTGTGCCACTTGTGGTCCCAGGGACGCTCGATCGGTTTGGGTCTTGGATAACAGCACTGGAGTCTGAAGGTGCTTGAGAGCGAGACCGTAGCTTCTTGTCTCCAGACGTTTGGCACACAGACGGTTCACTGACCGCCGACCCGAGGCCTCCCGGTTTCCCAGACGTCCTGGCGAACCAGTCCCCTGGTTTGGTGAGGATTTCTTGCTGCTTGCGGCAGTTATTACACACCCAGATGATCTACAAGACGAGGAGAAGAATTTCTTGGATACGTGCAACAATTCACGCTCACATTCACAACTGTAGAGTGAACAATTCACAACAAATGGAAAGAAAATGGAGTCCCTGAAGAAAAGCCATGCAAACAAAGGGACAACATGCAAACTCCACACAGAAAGACCTTTGCTTCTAATGTGGAACATGTGAATAACAAGAAGAACAGATTTTAAAAAACAACACGTTCTGAGATGATCCTCGTTCACGTCATTCATACTGACAACGGATGTCGCTTTGCATCCCAGAATAAACATAAGGCTTCATCCACAGCATGAATGCAGTGGTGTGAACACAGCAACCACCACAGTCCTTGGCTCTGATCGTAGTCCGGAGGAGGTAAAGAGGGGATGACAGAGGGAAGGGAGTAGGAAGAAGGATGGATGGAGGAAAGGAGGAGGTTCGACCAAGTCCCTCTCCTCCAGTCACCAGGGTTCTCATTACTCCTGAACACTCCCCGATGACTCTTTAAAGAAGGCTAAAATAAAACGCACTGGCATCAGCCATCTCAACCCCCCCAGATCCCTCCTCGCCCCCATTCTCCCTCTTCTGCTTCTCTCTCTCTCCCATCCCTCTCTTGTCCCCTCTTCTCTTCCATTTATCCCTCCTCCAGATTGCTTTTGATTAAAGCTACAAAAGACGGAAAGAAAACAGCTTTACACCAACGCAGCTATATTTATCCTGCCAAACACACCAGCACGACCAGGGAGAGGGGGAATGTGTGCTCGAGCGACACACACACACACACACACACACACACTGATAATCTTAGACACTCAAGCTTTGATTAAAACACATTCCAGATTATGTGCTGTCGGTACATGTAGTCAAAAGTCATGGATAATTTAAAATTCTGTATTTTAAGAAACTGAAGAAAAAGAACTTTACAATAATGTATTTTTTTACTATTACTTCTCTTTACTAAACGTACAGGGTTGAAAAACAGTAATAAATCTTGAAATCCTTGAATGACTGAAAAAGTGAAGGCTCCCTCTTGTGGCTCATGTGGCCACAGCTTCACACCTATATACTGTATATGTATATTTTTCTGTACAGAATTTCTTTCTCATTATAAAGTCATCACCTAAAGATTTTCAACCCTTATTTTTACACTGTTTTGTATAGGTTTGAAGCAACAGTTTTACTGCACATAATCGAGTTTTATTCATTTTTAAAGCATCTAAAATGTCATGGAAAACAATTTATCTGCCAAAAAAATAATCTTAGAGAGTTGCAGAATTTCTTAGTTAAAGGTTTTATTGGCTTTTCTTGTGGATTTGCATAGTAAAGTGGGTCATGGGAGTTTCAACTTTAAAAAGTCCTGATTCTGCAGTCCTTAAACTGCAGTCTACTTTCTGCTAGAACTCAATATTTGATCAGGCTGCATTATTATCTCCATTAGTTGCCTAAACACACACATTCACGAATTCTGCAAGTCAGGACAAAATTTGCTCCATCTTTTCATATTTCAAAATAGTTGCGGTTTTAAGATCTTGAATTTGTGCAAAACCTTCCTAACGTATGGAGCAGTTCCTTCCTCCTCATCATGCGGATTCTAGTTGCATCGGGGCAAAGGCACGTGTCGACCAACACGGGTTCGTGCATCACCGCTAGTTCAATATATTCTGACTATTGGGTGCCATCAGCGCAAAATACATTAGCACAAACGTCAATAAGAAACCAGCTGTTGTGTGGATAGTTTTTTTTCATCATTGTCTTAATGATTTCCTGTCCCGCGCTCTTATCGTCCGTTCCTACAATTTTAATGACACTCGACTGAAACAAGGAGACAAAGTAGTTTTAATATAAAATATTAACAAATTACCTGAATGTTATTTTCTCTGTCTGTGGCATCCTTTAAAGTTAAATATATCTTCAAGAACAGTGGTTCTCAACCCATGGTAGGTGTACCCTTGTGGAACTTGGGCTCCCTCTAGTGGTACTTAGCCAAGTATGATTTTTTTTTATCATCATCTGTGCCATCCTGCTGATGATAAATAGTCTAATAATCTTATTCAGATTACATTTTCACGCCGCTGTATTTATTTGTCGCTCATATTGTTGGTACTCTGGAAACTCTACATTTTTTTTTTTGTTTTGGTGTATGTAATGTAAAAAGTTTGACAACCACTGTGCGAGCGCACGATTCTGACCCGTTAAGGACAAGACCAGACATGGAGACAGCTGGTTCCAGGACAACATTTCCAGATGGTGTTAACGAGTGTAAGATAGGATTAGGATTCTCAAACTCTCTTTTCCTTCTAAAACAATAACATTTCCAAGAGACAGAAAAATGCAAAACCAAACCCAGTAAACCTGTCAACCTGTCAGATTCGTCGTGACACTTTATGACAAATATTTTTTTCAAATCTGCTTTATTTCCATGTGAGAGTGGCGGAAATAGCACAGCAGGAACCTCACAGTTCTGGTGCAGTGATGCGCCGCGTGTTTCAGGTCAGGACCTACTGTATGACCTGAACTCAACAACATTCAAAGTCACGACTGCACGTCGAGCCCCGACATGGACCAGGGGGGTGTTCACGTCGTTGTTAGTGAAGTCACTTCTACTCACACGGTTATTGTTAGAGCACTTTCTGCCTTGAGAAGCTGTGAGAAACTTGTGACGGTGCAGAACAAAGAGCCGGTGTTTGGAGGCGATGTGAAGCAGCACGCTGTTATTTTATAAGAGACTCACTTAATCCCATCGTAATCCCTGTATTAGATCACACTGTGATGGTGAAACAAGCAAAGAAGAGCAGGAAGAGCTGGGGGGGGGGGGGTTTTTTACCCCCCCCACCCCCCCCCCACGCACGCCGCAACGGGGGTATAACATTTCCAGGAGACAGAAAAATGCAAAACCAAACCCAGTAAACCTGTCAACCTGTCAGATTCGTCGTGACACTTTATGACAAATATTTTTTTCAAATCTGCTTTATTTCCATGTGAGAGTGGCGGAAATAGCACAGCAGGAACCTCACAGTTCTGGTGCAGTGATGCGCCGCGTGTTTCAGGTCAGGACCTACTGTATGACCTGAACTCAACAACATTCAAAGTCACGACTGCACGTCGAGCCCCGACATGGACCAGGGGGGTGTTCACGTCGTTGTTAGTGAAGTCACTTCTACTCACACGGTTATTGTTAGAGCACTTTCTGCCTTGAGAAGCTGTGAGAAACTTGTGACGGTGCAGAACAAAGAGCCGGTGTTTGGAGGCGATGTGAAGCAGCACGCTGTTATTTTATAAGAGACTCACTTAATCCCATCGTAATCCCTGTATTAGATCACACTGTGATGGTGAAACAAGCAAAGAAGAGGAGGAAGAGCTGGGGGGGGTGTATTTACACACTCTCACACACACACATCGACAGCAGTATCGGTGTGTCACATGACCACAGTAAGACCCCCCTCTTGAGAGGACCGTACGAGGAGGAGCCAGGAAAAAAGAACAGCTTCAGCACAGATGGAATCTAGGACACCAAACCCCTGTGTGTGTTTATTTTGCTTCATGCTGCATCCGTGTGTGTGTGAGTGTGTGTGTTCACAGACCATGTACAGTAATAAAAAAAATAATCTTCCCATTGACAGAGGATCATTTTGAACCACCTCCTATGGTGTTGTTTTTGTAGTTCAGAGGCGTCACCTGTAACGAGGCTTCAGTTGGACTGAACCGAGCGTCGACTTTTATTTAAAGAAAAAAAGACCTGCAACTAATTATTAAAACCTCAGATTTCTCAAGAAATATTTTTTTGAACAAACATAAAAAACCTGCTTTGGGAAAAAAAAATGTATTTTTTTTTCAAGCAAGATAATAATAGATTTGATTTGGGAAAGAAATGTGAGAGATCTGAATTTTTTCCTTGAAATCACAAGTCCAAAAGCAGCCCCCCCCCCCCCCCCCCCCCCCCCCACCCCCCCCCTTTATTAAAACAAAGAAAGCTTTAAAAACACAGACTGCTGCTTTAAGGAAACACTCTAACGTAACATAAAAGACATTAAAGCCAATCATGTAACGAACACGTAACATTCTATTTGCCCAAACAACCCACTGATTTATTTTTTTTTTTTTACTTCTCTTTTCAAACAGATTCATCCTTTTTCTCTACATCCGTAGCACGTTTAGCTCGAGAATTGTGGAGGAAGTGGAAAGAGAGGCGGGGGCAGGAAGGAGCACGAGCCAATGACAGCATGAAGTATGGCACCGGCAGCGTGCGGGGCGAGCGCCGTAACCAAGGGCGTCCATAAATCCTGCGCTAAGGATGAAAGACTGCCACAAAGGAGATTTGTGTCCACAGAGGCTAATGAGGTACTACATCAGCAGAGCACAGTGGCCGCAGCCAAACACACACACACGCAGGAGAGCCGTACACACACACACACACATGCACAGAGGGTTCATGTACAGTAACACATGCAGCACAGCTTGTACAAGTGCTGCACATGACGGCTTACACACATTTACCTCTTTATTATGGCTGTTTACACAGGGGCCGTATCTGCTGTTAAATACCCGATCAATATTGTAAATAATTCACTGTGGCCCTAATACAGTCGGCCCAGGTGAGAGTCTGGAGTTTGGAGCCCAGATGTTTCCTCAACACCTAACGCACTCTTACCTTTACCTTTAACTCTTTGAACTTGGGGTTGGGAGCGGACTATCTGACTTTTGTGGGGGAGAAGGTGAAATTCTGACTCGGAGCTCGGAAATTCCGACATTCAACTTGAACCAACTAACCATTAGCTTTAGCACACAAACACGTCACAACTGGAACGTAACTCCTCTGTTTTAGTTGCAGCACTAATGTAGGCATTGTGAGTGTGTGTGTGTGTGATATTTGCAGTTGACACTTCTACCTCTCACCACTAGGCTGTCTTAAATAATCACCAATTTGGTTGGTGATTGGTCGTCACACACCGGTGGTTTTAGTGTGAAGAACAACGTGTTGGCATCAACTTTAAGTCGTGGTCTTT